GCGGCAGTGGGCGGCAGTGGGCGGCAGTGGGCGGCAGTGGGCGGCAGTGGGCGGCAGATGGCATGTCTTCCCCACCCAGCCCTGGGCACTCTCTGTCTTGCTCTGCTCGGTCTGCTCTCTGCCCGGCTGTGAGCAATTTACATCACTCCTCGGGGAATCCGTTTCTTGGCCTGGAAATGGAAGGTTCAGGCTCAGATGAATGTTGATCCCACAGCAAACAGCAGGAAAGACTCTCTGAACAGACTCCGTGGTTCCTGCCATGGTTCCAGGGGGCTGGTTCTACTTCAGCTAATTATGCTACTGAATGGCTAAACCCTTTGTTTAAGGCTGTGAGGACAGTACAGATATTTCAACTGCACATTTTAAGGTTGATTCTGTAAAATAATTGCACTCCTTGCCTCTGTGGCGTAGCACCCTATTGGACCGTTTTTGCCTGCTTCTAGAATGAAGATTACATTAAAATTGCATTTGCTTGCTCCTGCTTTGCTTCCTCCACTTGTTCTCTGTCCTGCAGGCTTCCTACACTCACTGACTCTGGTCTCTCCAAGTCTGAACTCCTCTGTGGGATTTTCAGGAACTGTCCTGGTGAGATCATCCTGCTCGTGTGGCGCGTGGTCCCCCAGATCAAGCCAGGGCCCGACGGTGGCGTTTTGCGGCGGGCTTCCTGCAAGTCCACACATGACCTCCTGTCACCCCCTAACAAGAGGGAGAAGAACTGTACCCATGGGGCCCCATCCCGTCCTGAGCAGCGCCACAGCTGCCACCTGGTGTGTGACAACTCTGACGGACTACTGCTGGGTGGCTGGGAGCGCTACACCGAAGTGGGCAAGCGTAGCGGCCAACACACTCTGCCTGCACTGTCGCGGGCCACCACCCCTACCGACCCCAACTACATCATCCTGGCCCCGCTGAACCCCGGAAGCCAGGTATGGACAGCTAGCTGGGTGTGGAAGGGTCCTGTGCTGGGCTAAGAATGTCCCCAACTGCAAACTGGATTGTGAGGAGACCCCTGTGCTACGGCAGTCCCTCCATTCCTGTGGTCCATGGAATGCACTTTGGAGCAAGCTGCTGAGAAGGAAGTTGAGGTATCTCAAAGGGCCACAGTTTCACAGTGCATGAAGTCTCTTTCAGCTCCATCCACCTCGCCCCTTAAGAGTTTCTCTTGTGCCCATGCCTGTGTGCAGCTGCCTGCTGGGCTGTTCTGCCCCATTCTTGGGACTGAAGCTGGGTCTCTTGTCTTTCCCTTGCAGTTGCTGCGGCCTGTGTATCAGGAGGATGCCATCCCCGAAGGTGAGCTGTCCACTGTGCCTGAGGAGGTAGCTGGGGTCAGCTGAGGTTGGGCCCAACTTCCTGCTCTTAGTTCAGAGGCCTTTCTGATGGAGTTGGGGTTATCAAGCATATTGACATAGACCTCTTATCCTCCTGGTACCTCTTCCTTTCACTGAATGAGTATGTGTTTCCTTAAAGTCAGAGCTGGGGTGGTAGAGGGGGAATCTATGAGAACCGTCCAGGAGACAAGTGCTTAGCATTTATTTGGCTGTTAGCCAGTGTTGCTGAGCAACCGTATCTATCAGGGGTCAGAGACACCATGTTTGAACCTGCATGGAAAGCAGCCCTGGAATGTTGAGTGGTGAGGCCACAGGTTGGAATCTTCACCATGGAACCTGAGCCTCCTTTCTTTACCTAGAAAACAGTATCAGTGCTCCCTGCTCAGGGGCTTGTCTGGAGGACTCTCTGGGGAAACAGTTGTGTGTAGTTACCTGCATGCTGAAAGACAGTGCAAGATGCCATCTCTGAACCACATAGAGGTCTCTGTTGTTTAATCCATTCTTCTCTGTTGGCCTGCACACTCTGGGCTAGAAATGGAAGCTGGCATAAAGCAACTACTTCTCCAAGAAGCCTGGGAGATGAATCTCTGTACAGGAGCCGGTGGGGGCTACCTTTAGGCCCTCACACACCTGCCATAGAGCTGGTCTGGAAGGTTGAAGGCAGCCTTGCCACGTGGCCTGTAAGGCTCACCTCGTGGGTAACTGAGCCTACAGAATACCCGTGAACTTCCTTGAGAGTGGCCTTTCCCGTCTTCGCTCAGGTTTCTTTCTGTGCTGCTTCCCTCCATTAGTGAGAAGAAGGTGATTCTTAAAGTAGGTACTTGGGCCTTTGGGGAGAGGGGCTCCCATCAGGCTCAGAACTTCTGATGGAAGGCACCCCTTCCTCTCCCTCCTGGGGCCTGTGGGCAGCTGGTTCTGCTGGGGAGAATCCTGATAGTGATTCAACAGTAAGTGTCTAAAAGCTTTTAGTGGGCACATTAGGGTAGAGGGAATTTGTCTCTGCTAAATGGTGACTTTATTAGGGGCAGGGCTGGACTTGGTCTATTTCTGTGGGCCCAGCATCAGATCCAGGACCTGTCAGGCGACAGAAACTTGATGGAACTTTGGCAGAGTGGCTAAGGAGAATGACTCTGGTTTTTTTTGTATGGTTTTGAAAACAAGCCACTGAGGAAGGGACCTGGAGAGATGAGTCACCTGTGTGGGCATATGCACATGGGCCGGGAGCTCTTTGATCTTGTCCACAGAGCTCTAGTGATGTCTGTGTGGTCAGTGCCAAACTGTGCCTGTGCTTTTATTCCTCTCTGAAAATACAGTGTCAAGAAGGACACAGTTACCCAAGCCTCAGGGGAAGGAGCAAGAAAGGAAAAGGTGATGGCATTAATAACAGTGGCAGTGTTTTGAATTCCTTCTGTCAAGATCTTATGTGCCTGTTTGTGTGGGTGTGGGTGTGCATGCATGTGGAGGCCAGAGGTCAAACCCAGGAGCCATTGGCAGGCACTGTCACAAGGGTCCAAGACTGCTGATTAAGCTGGGCTGGCCAGTCAGTGAGCCCTAGGGATCCTCAGCCTCCTCAGTGCTGAGATCACAACAAGCATTGCCGCCATGCCCGACTTTTTACCTGGGTACTAGGAATTAGGCTCAGGTCTACCTAGTTAGCACACCAAGTACTTTACCAATTGAGTCATCTCTCTAGGCCGTGTATCAAGATCTTGACTTTGCTTCATTTCAGTACTAAGTCCTGAGTTCAGAGGTTAGGGCTGTCACCCTGGTGACAGCATTCCTCTAGCCTGCCAGGAGGTGGCCTTTCAGGAAGGAGAGTTCAATCATTTTGCCTTGAATAGCAGGGACAGGGACAATGTCACCATCTTGCATTGAACAGGATCTAAGGCCTTTCTGGAGCCTAGAGTGCTTGTTTGGCTGTAGTTGTCCTATGCCCCAGAACCGCGGTCCTGTGAAGGCAGGATGACCTCAGATTCACCACTGCCAGAGCCAAAGGGCTGCCTGGGCTCGCCTCGGAAGCTGGAAGCAAAGCCGTGTAATTACTATGTTTGGTCAGTGAAGCAGGTGCTAGAGGGAGTGGAGATGATTGGGGTTCAGGCCAGATATCATCACAAGAGGTGGCAGGTGGAAGTTTGCCTTTGTGGGGCTCAGCAACCAGACTGCAGTCTGGATTGTTCTAAAAAAAACGATAACTTTGAAAATCAGCTCCGGAGAGCCACACCGCTTGCCCCATATCTCCAGAAGGGAGTGGCAGTGTAGTTTTAGGGAGTGGCCTGCCGCCTAGAGCGCTGCTGCTGCCTGGTGCCCTTTACTAGCTGAATGACCTTGGGCAGCTTGCCCAGCCACTCCAGGTTTCCATTTCCTTATCTGGATAATGGGATCAAGTTGTCCTGTCAGCTCTGGAAGCAGAGAGCTGTGTCAGGTGGCTGATCGGTGAAGGTTCTCTGACAGCGCTGGGCATCTGCGCCTAGAAAAAAAAGGAATCTCTTGTAAGTCCCAACTTAGAGCAGACTGTGTCCTTCCTTCCTTCTGGTCTGGTTGGCCTCAGACCCTACTTCTCTGCCCCAGACTGCACCATGCCAACTCAGTCTGTCTACTTCCAAACCTCACTCATGGCATATTTCTAGGCCCTGTGGTCTTCTCTGTCATGTTACCACTGGTGGTTGGCTTAGTGTTGGAGGTCACCCATCCTGCCATCACATACCAGCCTAGCCCTCCAAGCCCCATTTCTTAAGAGGCCTTTTAGTGTCTACTTGGCTGCCTGGACCAGGCGAGACAGGCAGGTATATGGTCTCTGCTTCAGCACAGACAGGGAAGGAGCCTGCTCTGTGTGGCAGAGTCACAGTTAGCTTCTGACTCAGAAGTCATTCATCGCTCATGTTCAGCATGTCTTGTCCAGCTCAAATCTAGTATCCACCTCGAGACACAGGTTGGATTTTTCCAGTGGAAGGCCAGGCTGCTGCACAAGCAACTTTTTAAGTCCCAGGGCCAAGTCAGAGGAGAAGCTGGGGGACTTCTTCCCTGCCTCTGTGCCTCTTGTCCCCATCTGGGTGCCTCTTCTTTGTTACCATCTAAGCCACTCCCTAAATAGACAGGAAGTGGTTTGACTGGTGCCACCAGACTGCGATGGCTGGTCACTTGTGGGGATGCGGAGCATTGCTGGTCACTTGTGGGGGTGCGGAGCATTGCTGGTCACTTGTGGGGGTGCGGAGCATTGCTGGTCACTTGTGGGGGTGCGGAGCATTACTGGTCACTTGTGGGGATGCGGAGCATTGCTGGTCACTTGTGGGGGTGCGGAGCATTGCTGGTCACTTGTGGGGGTGTGGAGCATTGCTGCCGCCAGTCTGCGAAGACTGGTCACTTGTGGGGGTGCGGAGCATTGACATGTTTTTCTCACCTCTCTGTGAGAAGGGGCCCTGGGGGTGGGGGAAGGCAGCAAGTGTAAAACCAAACTCTCTGGGCTGTTTCCTCTGCCTATGGCCTGTGGCCTTGTGTTGGTGGGGAGCTTAGCTAAGATGCTGGGTCAGCCCACCTGTTTACTGGTTGCAGAATGCTAGGGGAAGCCTGGGCTCTGAGACCCAGGCTTGGCACCTTAGTCAGGGACAATCTGGCTGATTTCCCCTGGCAACAGTACCCTAGGAAGGAGCCTAGGTGTGTATGTGAGTCCCATCACTGGGGCGTGTTCCCTCTGCTTGCCTCTAGAGCACACACACGTGCAATGTCTTATTCTAGACAAATTGATGGTGGTGGACAAGTGGACTCCTGCCTCCTGGGCTAGTGGAAGGTGTGGACCCTGGCATCCACGGGCAAAGCATACTGTCTCTGTCACTACTGCGGGGACAGACCTGTGTCCATAGGGCCTGAGAGGTGATGTCAGGAGATCTGGGTTAGGATGGAAACAGGAGGTTAATCACATGCCCTACCACTTGAGAGGCCCCCTCTGCTCCGACTCATGTTCCTTGTGGGACCGGAGGCTCAGTGAGGTCAGAAATGAATGAAATTCCTGCCCAGGCTGAAACATGCATGAGCATCCCGTATATGGTGGTTCTGTTGGACTTGTCCAAATTGGGTTTCATGGTCTAAGTTGATGAGGACGACTGACCAGGTCTCTTCCTCAAGAGGGCACAGGATCTCATTGCAGATGGTTGTGAGCCACCGTGTGGTTGCTGGGAATTGAACTCAGGACCTCTGGAAGAACAGTCAGTGCTCTTAACTACTGAGCCATCTCTCCAGCCCTCAGTGATGTCAGACCTGGGCAGTTTGTTAATCCTCATTGCACTGTGGTTTTGCTCTTGTTTCGAGATGCAGTCTTGTCATACAGCCTAGGCTGCTTGATTTTGGGGTTCTTCTGCTTTGGGTTCCTGGATTCTGGGGTTCCTGGCATGTGCCAGCATGCCTAGACAGTTTCTCCATTTTCAGAAGTGCAAAGCTGAAGAGCAGACAGATTTGTGTGGGTGCCTGGGTCACTGGGGTGGAGTGGGGGTAACTCCCCCATCACGGTTGTGCTGAAGAACAGACAGATTTGTGTGGGTGCCTGGGTCACTGAGGTGGAGTGGGGGTAACTCCCCTGTCACGGTTGTGCTGGAGGCTCCTGCCTAGCTCTGGGTCCCTACAGGCTGAGGCTGAGACCAGCTGGAGTGACTCCCTGCCCCCACCTCTGCTCCACAGAACCAGGGACTACCGCTAAAGGGAAATCGTACACCGGCCTGGGCAAGAAGTCCCGACTGATGAAGACAGTGCAGACTATGAAGGGCTACAACAACTACCAAGATTGCTCAGCCCTGAGACCACATGTCCCGCATTCAAGCTACGGCACCTATGTCACCCTGGCCCCCAAAGTCCTGGTGTTCCCCGTTTTCGTGCAGGTGAGCCTGTGGCACGCCCCAGGGTTTCCTCAGGAGGGAGTGAGCACAGGCAGCGACCTTGGTTCCAGGACTAAAGGTGGAGCCTCACTCAGGATCCAGGGCCCCTCTGGGGGCAGGAAAATGACTTCATATTGTGGAAATTATCAGGGAAGCAGAAGCCTCCAGAAAAAGTGCAGAAAACCATGGAGTCATGCGAGAGCCCTCTCTTTCCTTACCCCACCCTCCCCCTCTGGGGCGGGAAAGGTGTTCAGACACACATCTGGCCAGCAATCACCCTGCGGGAATCACGTACATCTCCCCTTTCTTTTCTCACTTCTTTGTTTCTCTCTTTCCTTCTTTCCTGCTTCCTGTCAATGATTTAATCAGCACACAAAGTCTGAGGTTCTGTTATGTCATTGTCAAATATAATTTGTTTTTTTTCTTTCCTTTTTCAGTCCTCTTCTCCCACAGTCCTATCTCCAATACTTTTCTGCCATCATAACCTCTTTCCCACCTTCATGTCATGTATGTCCTGTCCCCACCTTTCCCACCTTCATGTCATGTATGTCCTGTCCCCCCCTCTTTCCCACCTTCATGTCATGTACGTCCTGTCCCCCCCTTTCCCACCTTCATGTCACGTATGTCCTGTCCCCCCCTCTTTCCCACCTTCATGTCATGTATGTCCTGTCTCCCTCTTTCCCACCTTCATGTCATGTCCCCCCTCTTTCCCACCTTCATGTCATGCATGTCCTGTCCCCACCTTTCCCACCTTCATGTCATGTATGTCATGTCCCCGCCTCTTTCCCACCTTCATGTCATGTATGTCATGTCCCCCCCTCTTTCCCACCTTCATGTCATGTATGTTCTGTCCCCTCTCTTGAGGTTTCTTTTCTGGTTATAGGACCCATACCTAACACCCACACGTGTATATATAATGAAAGCATTTAAAGTTAGATTCTGCATATGAGAAAGCACATACTATATTTATCTTTCTCAGTTTGGGTTACCTCACTTAATATATTTTCTAGATCTATTCATTTTTCTGCAAATGCCATAATTTAATTTTTTTCTGTCTGAATAAAATTTATTGCACATGATTACCACATTTTCAATGTGAGGGCCTTTTAAAAATCAATATATAATTACCATATGACCTACCCATACCACTTCTGAATGTATGTCCAAAGAACTCTATTTCTTACACAAAGGTTTGCTCCTGCCGTGCCGCACTGCCGCCTAGCCATACTCACAGCGCTTGACTTTTTAGACTGGGTGCCCCAACTCACCATCCTTCCACAGCATCCCAAACACTGGAATTATAGATGCACATTACCTGCCTGGTTATATTTGGTTTAAGGCTAACAAGTTGGCCCAGTGGGGAAAAGTGCCTGCTGCCACGCAACCTGTCAACAACCTGAGCTTGGTCCCTGGGACCCAAGGTGAAAGGGAAGAACCGATTTCTGCAAACTTTCCTGCTTCTTTCATACCTGTGCCTGACTACTCCTGCACATGTGTATATGTGTGCATACC